TATATTCTGACTGATTATAAATGATCTATTACTATAGAAATCAGATTAGTGATGTTCTGAGAATAAGAATGGGGAAAGTATGTATAACAAAGTTGCACAGGAAATGTTTCTGAATAATGGGAGTGTTCAGTACCTTAATTATGGTTTCACAAGTGTGTATATATATTATCTCATTGACTTTAAACTCATTAAATATATGTTAAAGTATGTACTTTGTTCTGTGGAAATTATGCCTCAATAATAATGGTAATTTAAAAATCAGACTACATTTTTAACACCATCTGAGTTGCAAATGTATCTTTAAAAACAAACAAAAAATGCCTATGGTCCAACTGCAGTGGAGCATGCAGTAGAGGAGCAACTTCCGGGTTCTAGAGTCACATGGAGTGGCTTCCTGTTGGCCATATAGGTCTCTCTGAGATGCTAGGCAGGTGCAAGGACACGCCCATAGTCCCACCCGACTGCAAGGGTAGGACTTTTCAGTCACAGACTGTGAACTCTTTTAGGTTTTCTTCTTTATCCTCTGTCTTCAATTTTCAGCTCTTCGAATACTAGTCTAATAGGAGATAGATGACCATTAGAACAGTGAGATTATTAGATGTAATTCAGAAACTTATGTTTCAGAAACTTACATTTCTGAGTTACTAGCCACAAAACTGTACAGTGAAATGAGTGTAAGATACTTCTTCACATGCTAAGTTATTGATGTGTTTGGTATTATTTCAGTTTTTAGATTTTTTTCAGTGATTATATTCAATTGAATAATGCCAGAGCCAACTCTCCTTTTTAATTATAAGATGGGAAGTTGATTATTCTATTCCAATGGGAAATGGTTGTTGGATTTTCTCATCCTGTATGGCAAATGATGAGTGCAATTCTTATCAGTAGAAAAAAGTGGAAAAAGCTCCATGTGAAGGTATAAATCAATGACAAGAAGAGAACAGAAGGCCAATGTAAGAAAGGCATACTGTAAGAAATAGAGATTTATCTGACTTAAATAAAATGAATGCAGACTAGAAACACACTATCAAATAGTCAGAGAACATCAAACAGAAAGGACAAAGTATAATTACATATAGTAGCAGTTTTTATGTCTGCCAATCTTATCTCCATACGTGTCTACATGTGGTTGGAGTATGAGAAGGATGTGGAGAGAAAAGTTTTTGTTTGTGTTTTCCCCCTATACAGGCACTCCTCACTTAATGACCGAGAACCATTTCTACAACTAAGTCTCTAAGCAAATTGGTCAAGTCAGGAGCTAAAAGACAAATGTCTTATGGTGTGTTCTGGCACCATAGTGTATGTATTTTTCAATAGCTATTGTGTGATGCTTACTACAGTAATTTAGTAATTCTATCTACTTAAAAAGCATACACTAGATTAGTTCTAAAAAGTAACAAGACATATGAAAACACAATAATAGAAATTAATTGTAATCATTTTTATTGATTGTGAATACTATTATACTGTAAGTGCACAATAAAGAATGCATGTGTAAATGAAATATGTACTTTCCTGTGACTGATTGATTTGTGTAGTAAGAACTAACTGACTGTGAGAACAAGACAAAGACTAAGAAGATTCCAGACATACACCCAGACAAATAAAGTAGATTCCATTCCCTGGAGAACTGATTTAAGTCTGAGCAGTTGTTAAACTGGTAGGCTGTTAACTGACTGTGGCTGTATTAAATAACATTGTTTAAAGTGTTTTTAGGAGACTTGTATTTCATTTTCAGTCAGTTAACTATCTTCCCTGATGCATGATTTGACAACATAATACGAATTAATAAAATCAAGATGTTCATCAGCAGAAATCACATTCCTTCATGTCCATGAAAGTTAACCTATGACTAGAATATTTCTCTTCTGACTAAGAATCTTTCTACCAAGTATGCTGAATACAGCAAGCATAGCATATTTGTGTCATATGACACATTTTTCTTAAGGTTTGGTTTTTCTGGATCTGGTTATATTATGGGAGGAAAAATAAGAAAGGCAAATTAGCATCATTTTTCTATGTCCTTAAATTAATAGCTAGAAAGATTTTAACTTTTTCTCAAAATAATACTATGCAAGGGCCAATGGGTAGAGTAGTGGTAAAGGCACGAGACTCCCACATGCTGACCATGGAATAAAACTCATAATGGGTGTATGTGTGTGCATGCCTAAAATCCCAGGAGAATGGAGGAGAAGGGACTGGGATGTGGCCATACCCCTGGGGGGGCGTGAATTCTCAATTTCTGTCTATCTCACTGGTAAGGTCACATGCCCTATAGCAGAAATCTTTCTCTAAAATTTAAAAAAAAAAGTAATTCTACACAATGCAGTGTTATTGCACTGCCAAGAGACTTCCCATTCGGGGAGAGCTCTATGCCAATGAAGGAGTGCAGAGGCAGATGAGTCTATCCAAACAAATATAGTATTGAAAAGTGAGCAGAACGAAGGCCCTGCAGAAGCAGTCTTTGAGAAATGAATTGATACATGAGAGAAGATCTCCCCAGGGTGAGAATTACTGTTCCTAAAGAGCAGTTGGCATTAGACAAAGCAAAAAATTTTGTAGAATTAGAGTGACTTCTGAGAGAAAGAAGTGACTAACAAATTTATAGTGTAAAAATCACTTACCCTGTTATAGAGAGCTCATGAAAATCCATAAAAGTAAGTTGTAATTGTGTTACTAGATGATGTTGTAAATATTTCTAAATATGAGAATCAAGATTCAAATAATAAGCGTATAAAGTTTTGAAAATTTTATCTGAGTTAATTATATAAATCATGCAGCTATTAAAAATATAGGGTTGCATAAAATTATATCTAGGTCAAATAATAATTACAATAATAAAACTAATTGATTTAATGTAACTTTTATAACTACTTAGTAATGGAAGTATGTTATTTTTATTTATCAATGTAGTAATTCAAAAGTATCAGATGATGAGGATAGATAGTATGCAGGTGTAGTGTATTAGAGGAGATAGGTAAATATATAAATATTTATTGTGAAAAGTTGGGAAACAAACAGTGAGAAAGTGTAATGGGAATTGTTAAGCAATGCTGACTTCCTGACTTCATACAGAATGATATTAATATGAACTGTATTAAGACAGGCTGGTTGTTTTAATATTTTAAAATTTATTTTATGCATTTAATTGCTATACATCACAGCTTGTAAGCTGAATTTACCCAACATGAATATTCCTCACACCAGTCCAGTTGAGGATGCAAAACACGTGATCATTAACAGATAACAATCCATTTCTGCATCCCATAAACATCTTGCCTACTTTTCTTTTTTTCTTAATTTTTTTCTTACACTCTTCCCCTTCTCCCACCCTCTTCCCACAGTATCTCCAGTATCCATAACCATATTCAGTGCTTCTATGTACTCTAATCTTTCAGTTTCCAAATGAAAGGTTATTTCAACAACTTTTGCTTTGTTTTGGTTTTCAGTGCCATTCATATGCTATGGACACTTCTACCACCAGAGAAAATACTGTTTAGGTTTAATCAGGATGCAAGTAGTACTTGTATAAGGCAACATTATGAAGGGAAAAGAGACAAAGGGAGCTGCATTTGATTATAATAGAATTACATGACAATGAAGAATCTCACATGGATAAGGAGAGATATGTAACAAATATTGCAATGTATGGGTAATATTTCTTGACTAAATTAAAAGTTAATGATATTTATCACAAACATATAGAAAATGTTAATGGGTAAAGCTGACAAACAGCATGTTCAAATTAATGTTTTTGTATTTAGTATAAATAATGGAAGAAATACACCAATTAGAGCAATAATATTGCATACATTTATTTCCTCCACTTAAAAAAAGTGATTGTCATTGGAGGATAAAACAGATGACTTAAAATTCGTTTGACTATGGGGACCAGCAGTTGGCATAATGGCTATGTTGCTGGACTCCTGTGTAGTCGACTTTGGTTCGAATCCTGGACCTGGTGGCTTAAACTCACAGTGGGCATGTGTGCATGCATGCCAAAGATCTTGAGAGGAGAATGGAGGAGAAGGGATTGCGGCATGACCATCTCCCCTGGGGGGTGATTTCTTGCTTTCTGTGTCTCTGTCTTTCTCTGTCTTTCTGGTAAGCATATGCACCCTATAGCAAAACCTCTGAAAAAAAAAAATAAAACACACACACAGACACACAAAATTAAAAACTCATTTGACTCTGAGAGAGCATGTATTGTGTAGCTAAAAACCTTTTTTAAAAAAAAGCTCTTTTTAAATAAAAATGAAATGAAAATTTCTAGAAAAAAGATTTTCTTTGAATTAAAAGATTTTGAAATATGATGTTCAATATGAAGAAAATAAATCCAAACAAAACAATAAAACAAATAGCCTATATCATAATTTTACTATTAATAATGAAATTATTACGTAAGATATTATTATTAGTAGTAAGATATTATTATTACAAAATGTTCTCTAAGGGACCAGTAAATGTTCTCTAAGAGACTCAACCACGGTTTGAGTCTCAGACATGGTAACTTAAAACTCATGCCAAGCGCGCATTTGTGCATGCCCAAAATCCCAAGAGGAGACTAAATAAAAAGAGATTGCAGTGTGGCCAACCTCCTGGTGGGTGATATCTTGCTTTCTGTCTCTGTTGCTCCAGCAAGTGCACATGGCACATTGCAAACATCTCTCCCTAAAAAACAACACTAACAAAAATATTCTCTAAATATTGCACACTTACCAGTACCTCTGGTGTCATTTCATCCAAATCTCAAAAAATATATTAGAATTGTAGTTATTGAATTGATTTCATTTCTAATAGCAGTTTTTTACTGAAGTTTCTAATCTCAGTTCCTAGTCATAGTAATCTCATTTCCTAGTAATGGTAAAATAATTTGAGAAATTATATAAATATTTTAATGCATCTCTTCCAATTAGCATAAAGGTCAGATGTGATTCAAATTGTGAATGAATTAATTATTCAAATTTCCACATCTACAGATAGAGAATAAATTAAAGCAGAAAATTCAAATATTACTACAATAATGAACTTTGTTCTCTTGAGGTTTTCTAATACTCCAAATCTCCAACAAATTGTGTTTGATAAATTTTTACTCATTTATCTGACTATGTTGGTGTGCAACGGCATTATAATATTAATAACAAAAAATGACCCTGCTCTCCAGACTGCCATGTACTTTTTTCTTGTCCATTTTTCTTTTTTGGAAATATGTTATGTAACAGTAATTCTTCTGAGAATGCTCATGGACCTTTGGGCTCAGAAGGGACATATTGCTTTCTTTGCCTGTGCTACACAGATGGGTTTTTTCCTTATGCTTGGGGGTACAGAGGACCTCCTGCTTGCAGTGATGGCCTACGACTGCTATGCAGCCATTTTTAACCCTCTTCATTATGCTCTAGTGATGAACCACAAAGTCTGCATCTGGCTGGTGGCTGCCTCCTTGATCACTGTAGTTCCAGTTGTCATCAGGGAAACATGGCTGATTTTCTCCTTGCTCTTTTGTGCATCTCACACAATAAATCACTTCTGTGACATCCTTTCAATACTCAAGCTTGCTTGTGGGGACACATTTGTTAATGAGACAGCAGTCTTCATAGCTGCAGTTGTGGTGGTGTTCATCATGGCCCCTTTTCTGCTGATTGTTGTCTCCTATGGTAAAATTATCTACAACATTCTGAAATTGTCATCAGCTGGAGGAAGGTCTAAAGCCTTCTCCACCTGTTCTTCTCACCTGACAGTTGTATTGCTATTCTATGGGACAGCTACCATCACTTATTTACAACCCAAACCCAGTCAGTCTGAGAGAATGGGGAAGCTAATCTCTCTTTTCTACACTGTTTTCATTCCAACTTTGAATCCCATCATATATACTCTGAAGAACAAAAATATCATGACAGCACTGAGAAAACTACTAGCTTAGCTATTACCATAAGGTAAAGCCTTGATTTATAGAAATAGCTGTTTTCATTATTATTGAATTATTTTATTTACTTTATTTATTTACTTAAATTTGACCAGAGAGGGACAGAGAGAGAGTAAGAGACTAGAGAGAGAGAGAAAAATTAAGAATGCAAGTTTCAGGTCCAGGACTTAAACCATGGTCAGCCATATGAGAATCCAATGCTTTAACCACCACACCACCTGCCAGCCACAGAAATAGTCTGTTTATAATGTTTGTCATGTAGAATAGAAACATACTGTCAGCTTTGTTCCTAAATAATGATAAGATTGCAATGGTGCTCCCACATTGTGTAAAAAGATCTATCTTTTACAGAATTTATTTAAGGACCCCTACATAATCAGAGTACTGATAAAATCCAGTGCAAAGACGTTATTATTATTTGCCCCAGTGTGAGGATTATTATGTTTTTAAAAATATTGAACAGGGAGAAGCAGATAGAATGGTAAGTGAGAAAACAAGCTTCCAGGCCCAGGATTCGAACTGCTGTTGGTCATGTGGGAATTTAGTGTCTTAACCCCCATACTTCCTGCTGGCCCCTATTTTATAGATTTTAAAGTAATCCAGTAACCAGATGTCCTCTGACTGTAGCTTGATAATACTGATTTAGTCCTGGTAGCTTTAAAAATTCTAACCATCAGATATTGTTCTCATATGCAGTAGGTTGAATATTGGTTCCTCAAAATATATCTCTCTCTGATGTCTTCTAATATATCCTTCTTTGAGCAAAAAGGGTTTTTGCAGATATATTTAACATAGGATTTTGAAAAGAAGTCACTGTGGTTTAGGGTGGCACTCTACCCAATGATAAGTATCTTAGAAAGAGATATAAAGAAATTTAGAAAACAGGAAGTCCAAGAACTACAGAACCTGGAAGTGGAAAGGATTTTTTTTTCTTAAAACTTTCTGATGGAGTGAGGCACTTCCAACACCATGATAGTAGACACCGAACTTGAGAACTGTGAGATACTCATTATCTGTTGTTTTCTGCCATTGATGTAAATATTCCTTATCCTTTTACTTTATAAACTTAATCAATGAACTCTCATTTTGAAGAAATAATATTTGCACATTATTATGGACATGTGTTTATTACAGTATGCCTATAACATTTTTTGTTTATTTTGTATTGCAAAATAAAATAACTAGCCAAGAGAAGGCTTTCTCAGAAAATAGTATCAAGACCTTGGAGCACATCTGTACCACATAGTGTTTCACAAACATTTAAGACAATGTTTAAGAGCATCTCTACTAAAGAAATTTCTACTTTCTTAATATGTAAGAAAAAAAAAACAGTGTAAATGTGTTTATCAAACATAACACCGTGTTCATGAAACCATGAAAGATAGCACTGTAACTTCATACATTTTGCATGTACATGTTGGTAGCGGGTAGTACTCATACTAGCAGTGACTAAACGTATTTGGATTAAAAGAGAATATTGACTTTCTCATAGTGGCAAGAATTTATCTCACCATTTTATTTTCTTTCTAATTTGCTATAAGATGAGTGAGAGAGACATAGAGATAGACAGACAGAGAGAGAGAGAAGAAAGCAGTGCCTGGAGGGGGATGGCCATGCCATAGTCTCTTTTCCTCCATTCTGCTATCAGGATTTTGGACACACAGCTAGTGTGTTTCTCATGCTGCCATGTCCAGGACTAAACCACCCTGCTTCTGAATGGCACACACATCATTCATGTTTTTTATAAATGCTTTTTTTCTTTGTATTTACCTCATTGAGAATAAGACATGCAGATCATAAGAAACATGTAGCAAGGAAAACGTTTGCATATTTCCTTTTTATTAAATAGCTCAAAGAACATTTAGAATTAAATAGGTATAATATCTATATAAGCCAAATTATCATAAATTAAACTTATAAAACATAAAAGAAAATAAAGAAATGTTGACAATTATTGAATTAATAAGGTAATTCTTAATATTTAACAAATCAAATAGATAACAAGAAAAATAAATTTTAAACAACTATATGTGCATGCCGAAAATCCCAAGGGGAGATTATAGAAGAGATTATGGTGTAGCTAGCCCCCTATGGGGATGGCAATTCCTCAATTCCCGTTCTCTCTGTCTCTCTCTGGGGAACACATGCACCCTATGACAAAAACAAATAAAAAGAAAGACAACATGATTACATACCAAGAGAGTAATTAAATGATTAGGTGGGGCCTTAAATATGCAGAGAATATTTATTTAAGAAAGTTTGATTTTATTTTAATTTTTGAAGACAGGAATGCTTAGAAATTGAAAATGTAGAACAGGAAGACACGTGCAAGCCATGAACAAAATAAAAGAAAAAAAAAGATTTTTTTTTTTTGGAGAGATTTTTGCTATAGGGTGCATGCACTCTCCAGAAAGACAGGGAGAGCCAGAAAGCAGGAAATCACCCCCCCAGGGGAATGGCCACACCACAATCCCTTCTCCTTCATTCTCCTCTCAGAATCTTGGGTATGCATGTACACGTGCCCAGCATGAGTTTAAACCACCAGGTCCAGGACTTGAACCAAGGTCAATTACGGGGGAGTCCAGCAACATAGCCATTACACCAACTGCTAGTTCTGAAACAGGAATTTTATTTAGAATTTCAGGGTCCTACAACCTGGTTTACTGTGGGTTAATTATTATCAGTTTTATAAATTAAAAGATTACGTTTCCTGAATTAAGAAAGAAAAATAGTGGGACCAGCAGATGCCATAATGGTTACAACGCTGAACTCACATGTAGTCGACAGCAGTTTGAGTCCTGGACCTGGCAGCTTGAAACTCACGAAGTGCTCGTACGTATGCGTACCAAAAATCCCGAAAGGAGAATGGAGAAGGAGAAGGGATTACATCAAGGCCATCCTCATAGTAGGTTATTTCTCACTTTCTGTCTCTCTGTCTCTCCAGTGAGTGCACATATCCTACAGCAAAATTCTCTCTAAAAAAAGAAAAAATGGTGAAAGAGACTGCCACACTCATACAAACTATGTAATTATAGTTTAGGGACAAAGACCTCAGGGACAGACATTCTAATGACAAAGTGCATCCAAATGGGAGTTCTGGTCTACCATCATGATGCAACTCAGTTCTAAGACACCTGCTGTCTTTGTTTTTAGCATCCTACAAAATGTAGCTGCTGTCCACCTCCATCAGTGCTAGGTGTTTAAAGATTCAGGCTGATAGGTCTCTGGGTTTTTCATCTCTCTGTCTATCCTTTTCTGTTTTAAAGGCTCTCCTACTAGAGAGAGGATGACCTTACATTTATACCATCAAGATGGAATCCCATACTCATGTCACTTTACCATCTTCATTCCTTAAATCCCCAGCCACTTCCCACATGTACTCTCTCTTCTCTTCTTTCTCTCTTTTCCTCTTTTCTTCCTTTAAGAATACAGAAAGTCTTCAAACTGGAAAGTATAATTTATACCTCTTAGTCAGCCACATTTACTAGATTTTTAAGAATGAACAATTAAATTTACTTCTCGAGTTAAGATTTTTCTTACTTAAGAAGTCTTTGCCTACCCCAATGTCTCCCAGAGTTTCCCCAGTGTTTTCCAGGAGCAACTTTACAGTTTGAGGTCTTAGGTTTAGATCATTGATCCATCTTGAGTTGATTTTTGACAATGGTGAGAGGCAGGGGGTCAGATTCATCTTTCTGCAAGTGTATATCCAGTTTTTCCAGCATCATTTCCTGAAGATGTTTTCCTTTTCTCACTGGATTGACTGGTATCCCTGGTGCTGAAGCAGTTTAGACAATTGATATTGAGACAGAGAGACTGTATTCTGTAAGTGAAGGATTTCAGGAGGTCAAGGGTCAAGGGTGGCACATGTGTCCCCCAGACTTATGCTGTAAGTCGACACGCAGCAGCAATGTTGGGGCATGGCCTGACCCTTCGTGGTGTCCCTAGGGCGTCCTGCGTCCTCCTTTGCACTTCCCTTTCTGCTGTTCCCGGTGTGTTATGACTGCACCACAGCCTGGCCAGGTGCCAGCTCCCTGCCTTTGGACTGTGAGAAAATACACTTTTTTCCCCCTACTTATTTATTTATTCATTAATTTATTTATTTTTACATTTTTCCACATTTACTTTACATATCAAAAAATTTTAGCTCATACTCCATGGTTCTTGACAGTTAATACACAACTTTCAAAATTTCAAAATACTGAATTTTAAAAGATAATGTTCAAAATATTTCATATAATATTGTATAATTTTGTTTGTGACTCTATAACAACAGAAACAGTATGATTTTAAAATACTTTTGAGAAAATATTTACATGTCAACTACTCAAATTGTTGAAAATCAAATGCACAGCACACATATCACAAATAAACCTTTTCAATTTAGCCCTGCCTACCAAGTATTCTGTGATATACTATCTGCTAGCAATGATCAATCTCTTTCTTTCTTCAAAGTCTTTCTCAAGTTAACCCTCTGGTGTTGTTGCTTTTTTGCAATCTCTACTGATTACAATGCTGGGCTGAAAAAGTCCAGGTTATTTTATGCTATAAATTATTTTACATATCTTCTCTAATCCTCTCTGCCAGGCAGAACTATTTATGGTGCCAGGCCATCTTTCTAAGAGCTTCTGTTCGCTTACTTGAGATCCACCTTAGTTCCATGGTTTTCTGATTGATCTTCAGATATGACATTCCAGTCAAAGCCCTGTCTAATAATGAGTATTTCCAATTTCTGGTTCAATGCAACAAGCATTTTTGAACTTATGCAAATAACTTTTCTGCCACAAAATAAGAATATTCCCCAATATTTCCAATTCAAGAGGGGTCAGGAAGGAAGGAAAGTTTATGTTTCCATCCAAAGAAACAAATAAGAAAAATATTTTAACAAATTTCTGAACCTATCAACAACTCAAAAGAATGTAAAATGCTTGAATTGGGAAAACAAAGCATAGCAAAAAAAATCAGTAATGTTTCACTCAAAAAGTCATAAAATTCTATTT